GCTGAGAAATAATCAGTCAGTGGAGTGATCTGGAGCTGTAATGCACTCTAAACCTGCCGGAACTACTTTAGCTGTGCCTTCATCTCACAGATATTCACATCAGATGTGGCCTGCGCTGCTGTCGTCTATTAGAAGGAATGCGTCAACAGAGCCGCCATGTTAATACAGGGTAGCGCTGCTCTGAAATGAATGCAGGACCAAGATTCAGACTGTGGCCATCCAGAGCCAGATATACACACACACACACACACACACACACACACACACACACACACACATACACACATATATATATCTATGATTGGGAGATTCCCGCTGGTCAGTATGCAAATATTTTATCTAAATTATGAATATTATGATTTTACATCACTTTTGCACATGGATGGATCAGTGAGCGCATGGGCATTACTGATAAAGAGTGTGTGCTTGTGTGCAAGGAGATGTATTATCCACCCTACCTGTTAAATTTGGTCTAATCCGTGTCCCCCTTCTGTGCTGGGAGCCTGTACCAATATGGCGGTGCTATTGACGCATGCTCCGGGCCCGTATGGATATCACACCTGAGAGTGACCAGTAGCCAATCAGAATCCAGCATTCAGCAGAGGTGTATTATAAGACATTCTCTGACATGAAACTGAAATTCTGTTTAAATACTGAGTTAATCAACCATAAAAACAGAACATACAGAGATCGCTTATTATTTTAAAACAGTGTTTTAATATAAACTCATGTTTCTTTCGTCCTTCAGAAAGCTGAAGTAAAGGTGAGCTGACGACGTCTGTACTGTGCACAGTCAAACACAAGCTGCGTCCCAAATCACACACTTGTGCACTGTTCTAGGCCATCGTGTAGTGGAGTAGTGTGAGTAGTGCGTTCACACTGAGGCAATCAGCAATGGCCTTGCTAGATGGTGAATAGCCCGCCTTCCAGTACAGAAGCATATATACAACAAATAAAGCCCCGCCTACTAGTTCAGGAGCCAATCAGCGATCGCTATATGGTAAATAAAGCCTGCCTACTAGTACAGGAGCCAATCAGCGATCGCTATATGGTGAATAAAGCCCCGCCTACTAGTACAGGAGCCAATCAGCGATCTCTATATGGTGAATAAAGCCCCGCCTACTAGTACAGAAGCCAATCAGAGATCGCTATATAGTGAATAAAGCCCGCCTACTAGTACAGAAGCCAATCAGAGATCGCTATATAGTGAATAAAGCCCCACCTACTAGTACAGGAGCCAATCAGAGATCGCTATATGGTGAATAAAGCCCCGCCTTCTAGTACAAGAGCCTATTAGCAATCGCTATATGGTGAATAAAGCCCCGCCTTCTAGTACAGGAGCCAATCAACGATCGCTATATGGTGAATAAAGCCCCGCCTACTAGTACAGGAGCCAATCAGCAATCGCTATATGGTGAATAAAGCCCCGCCTACTAGTACAGGAGCCAATCAGCAATCGCTATATGGTGAATAAAGCCCCGCCTACTAGTACAGGAGCCAATCAACGATCGCTATATGGTGAATAAAGCCCCGCCTTCTAGTACAGGAGCCAATCAACGATCGCTATATGGTGAATAAAGCCCCGCCTTCTAGTACAGGAGCCAATCAGCGATCGCTGAAATATGAATAAACCCCGCCTACTAGTACAGGAGCCAATCAGCGATCGCTATATGGTGAATAAAGCCCCGCCTACTAGTACAGGAGCCAATCAACGATCGCTATATGGTGAATAAAGCCCCGCCTACTAGTACAGGAGCCAATCAGCAATCGTTATATGGTGAATAAAGCCCCGCCTACTAGTACAGGAGCCAATCAGCACTCGTTATATGGTGAATAAAGCCCCGCCCACTAGTACAGGAGCCAATCAGCGATCGCTGAAATATGAATAAACCCCGCCTACTAGTACAGGAGCCAATCAGCAATCGCTATATGGTGAATAAAGCCCCGCCTACTAGTACAGGAGCCAATCAACGATCGCTATATGGTGAATAAAGCCCCGCCTTCTAGTACAGGAGCCAATCAGCAATCGTTATATAGTGAATAAAGCCCGCCTACTAGTACAGGAGCCAATCAACGATCGCTATATGGTGAATAAAGCCCCGCCTTCTAGTACAGGAGCCAATCAGCGATCGCTGAAATATGAATAAACCCCGCCTACTAGTACAGGAGCCAATCAGCGATCGCTATATGGTGAATAAAGCCCCGCCTACTAGTACAGGAGCCAATCAACGATCGCTATATGGTGAATAAAGCCCCGCCTACTAGTACAGGAGCCAATCAGCAATCGTTATATGGTGAATAAAGCCCCGCCTACTAGTACAGGAGCCAATCAGCAATCGTTATATGGTGAATAAAGCCCCGCCCACTAGTACAGGAGCCAATCAGCAATCGTTATATGGTGAATAAAGCCCCGCCCACTAGTACAGGAGCCAATCAGCAATCGTTATATGGTGAATAAAGCCCCGCCCACTAGTACAGGAGCCAATCAGCAATCGTTATATGGTAAATAAAGCCCCGCCTACTAGTACAGGAGCCAATCAGCAATCGTTATATGGTGAATAAAGCCCGCCTACTAGTACAGGAGCCAATCAGCGATCACTATATGGTGAATACAGCCCCGCCTACTAGTACAGGAGCCAATCACGCTATGGAATGACAATTCTCCGGGGGAGGGGCTCGACCAGACATGAGTTTCTGCAGATTTTGAGTGATACGAATATTAAAAACTGAAACTAAAGAGACAGTCGCTGTTTAATTTTTAGGTTATTCCTCATATGGAATGTAACGGTAGGCTTGGCTAGTAGTTTTGGAGAATTTGATGTTTCCCTCTTCAGACAGAATGCCGAGCATACTGCCCGAGAGCCGCTTCAAAGATGGCCGCCGAGTGAAATGACTTGCCCTAAAGGGACTTTGGTTATACTCACGGCAGGAATTATTCGGTAGTTTGGTCTTTTATTTCACTAATTAGGCGACCATCAAACGTCATCAGGGAAACAGGCTGAACTTCAGCTCAGTACAAGAACATCAGTGTTCCTTCGGGACGACACTATATACATATACTGTACTGCTGAGTGCAGAAGTGTACAGTGTGCCATTTGGGACGCAGCTACTGATTTCTGCACCATCACGTCCAGCAGAGAGTGTGTGTGTGTGTGTGTGTGTCCGGCACGCGCGCACACTGAGTCCGGCTGAGCAGAACAGCTGCAGCTCATAAGGAATGTAAGGGGCCTCATCCACACACACACACACACACACACACACACACACACACACACACACACACACACACACACACAGCGCTGGAGAAACACCATATAAGGCCAGCGGAGGCCGGTTTTATCAATGAGTCACAGAAGCAGGTCAGAGTTCATCTGAAGCACAGGTGCAGCACACACACACACACACACACACACACACACACACACACACACACACACACACACACACACACACACACACACACACACACACACACAGACACCCACCCACACACACAGAGACACACAGACACACACACACACACACACACAGACAGACAGACACACACACACACACACACACACACACACACACACACACAGTATTGTAAAACTGTACAGGTGTGAATTATTTCTCCTTGTTTCAGGAGTTCACACTCAGATCTCGCTTGATGCTCATTGCAGGTTTGGCATGCTGTCCTGCTCATGTAGCATGTAGGAGGGTCTGAGATCAGGTAGTTCCCGAGAGCTCCACACGGTTAAGGAGGAAAGGGGGAGATGGGGGGATTCTTCAATCTATGAGATGACGGAGTGATGCTAGCCGGACTATTCACACTGAGTTTGGAATGATCTGATTGGCTCAGTAATGATTACAGATGAGAGAGCAGCTAAGATCAGTCATATCATGAGCATCACGGTGTCTCAGTGGTCAGCACTGTCACCTAACAGCAAGAAGGTCGCTGGTTTGAGTCTCGGCTGGGTCCGTTGGTGTTTTTGTGTGGAGTTTGCATGTTCTCCCCGTGTTGGTGTGGGTTTCCTCCGGGTGCTCCGGTTTCCCCCACAGTCCAAACACATGCGCTATAGGGGAACTGATCAACTACACTGGCCGTAGTGTACGAGTGTGTGTGTGTGTGTGTGTGTGTGTGTTGTGTGTGTGTGTGTGTGTATTCCTGTGGTGGTTGTTCAGTGTCATGATCCTGCAGGATTCAGTGTAATATGAGGATCTGCTGTTCATCATTATCAATATTCAGTTATTGATTGAATGTCGTTGATTAATAAGCGCATTATTCACTCCGGCACTCACACACTTGTAGCGGCCTGTACTGTTGATGTTTGGTAAAGAGAGAGCTTTCCAACATCTGCAGACTCAGACTGAAGCTGATCAATAAGAGTGAAGACACCAGAGCACGCAGCGGCAGATCATCACGCAGGAGAAACACACACTGATCAGCAGCGCACACACACACACACACACACACACACACACACACACACACACACACACACACACACACACACACACACACAAACACAAACACAAACACACACACAGCCAATCTGACTCAGTGAATCAGTTCAGGAGTCATTTACTGATGATTCATGTGAGACCAGATGAAGACAACAAACTGCACACTGAGGGTCACGATGAGGTCAGCACTAATAATCCCTATGTGCAGTGGACACACACACACACACACACACACACACACACACACACAGCAGTATAGTCTCTAAAGATAGCTCAAGTAACTCAAGTAACTCCAGCAGAGCTCAGAGCTGAGGAGAATCAGATCTGCAGCGCTCAGTAGCAAATCAACTGAATACAACAGACAAAACCTGTGTGCATGTGTGTGTGTGTGTGTGTGTGTGTGTGTGTGTGTGTGTGTGTGTTTAAATATGTGTGTGTGTGTGTGTATGTATGTATGCATGCCTCTGTGTGTGTGTGTGTGTGTGTGTGTGTGTGTGTATGTATGTATGCATGCATGCATGTATGTCTGTGTGTATGTGTGTGTGCGTTTGTTAATGCATGCACGCATGTGTGTGTTTATGCATGTATGTGTTTATGCACCTGCATGACTGCACATGCATCTGTAAATGTGTGCATGTACATGTAAGTGTGTGAGAACATGCATATCTGTATGTGTGTGTGAGTGTGTATAAGCATGAGTGTGTGTGTGAGAGAGTATATGTGTATGTGTGAGTATGTGTGTGTGCATGCATGTGTGTAAGTGAGTGCATGTTTATGTATGTGTACGCACATGTGTGTGTGTGTGTGTGTGCGCGTCTCACCTTCCCCTCCCCCAGACTCTCGCTCTCAGACACCTGATAGGTGAGCTCGGTCTCCTCGTATCCGCTGGCGCTCATGCGCTGGTCGCTGCAGTCGGAGCGGGGGGGCGAGTCTGGAGAGTTGAGGCAGGTCTGGATCAGAGCTTTGCCCGTCTCGCTGGTGATCATCGGCTGCAGCTTACGCGTGGCGAAGGTGTACACGTGACCCGTCTCACTGGCCACCAGCAGCAGCACCTGAGTGCCCGTCAGCGTGGACAGCTCGTACGCCTGCGCACACACACACACACACACAGATCAAACACAAAGACAAAGTGATGCACACACACACACACTGCAGCACTCTGAGCCGCTGTTGTTTCCTTGCTGTGGTCAAATCAGTGTGTTAAACAGGAAGATGCGACTCCTCCTCACAGATCCTGCTGCTCTGAGCTCTGGTCATGTCAGCGCTGGACTCCTCCGTGAGAGCCGGTGGAGCTCCTCTCTTCCTCTGTCTGCAGTGGCAGGGTTCAACAATAAGGACTGGCCGATGGCCCGGGGCCAGCATGAGCGATGTTCGGGACAGCAGAGAGAACCGTTACGGGCTGATGAGGCAGTGCTGCCTTGACACAAAAGTTTGATTTGCCTGCGACTATTGTGCAAATACAGTCTTAAATCCAGACTCAGCTTGTGCTTTAGGTCTGTGAATGCCTCCTGTTCTGTCAAGTCGTGAACACCATTTTGCTTTTTGGTTGCTTTTATCTGATGGATGCTGTGAGCAGGTTATTATTCTCCACAACCTGGTAAAAAGCAGCGCAGTGAAGAGACGGCAACAGCAAATTATGGAAATGTCAGTCTCTAATGTTGTGGAAACAGATATTTACACGTGTACAACACCATGAAGAAAATATGACGTGATGTGTTGCATTGATTTCCGTCACTTTAACTCTGCAAGCTTTTGTTCAGTAATAAAACACCTGCACATCCTGCATTCTGCTCTATTCTACTGCTAGACATTTAACATCTTTTAAATATTTCAATTCTAGATTCACAGGCATTATTTCATTCATTCATTCATTTTCTTGTCAGCTTAGTCCCTTTGTTAATCCGGGGTCGCCACAGCGGAATGAACCGCCAACTTATCCAGCAAGTTTTTACGCAGCGCTTGCCCTTCCAGCCGCAACCCATCTCTGGGAAAACAGCCGTTATTTTCGACACATTATTTAATATTTGTGGCTAAGAAAAAGCTATTTTATTGATTAATTTTGGCGGGGCCAGTAAAGTGAGTGGTCCCCGCTCGAGCATCAGATACAGTTCAGATCACTGACACAGACACTGCAGCCACTCACACAACAGCTCATCCATCTTTAGTAATCTTATGTAAAGATGATATAACACACACACACACACACACACACACACACATAAATAAATATATATTTACATCTATATACAAATAAATCTACATGCGTTTTAAAAATCTGAATGTTAAAAAATAAAATTAAAAAAATAAAAATTACTAATACTTTCCTTCTTAGACTTTACACACCTGAAACTCGCCTACAGCACTTCACTGTTGCTCTTATAGTTGTGTAAGTTGCTTCCTTGTCCTCATTTGTAAGTCGCTTTGGATAAAAGCGTCTGCTAAATGACTAAATGTAAATGTAAAACGCAGCATAACCGTCTTGTAAAGAGGCTCCATTCTGAGTGTGCCTCACACAGGTGAGTGGGCTTGACAAACCACCTGTAGAAACACTTATCTTTCCCCCATCGACTCCCTCATCTTTCTGACACTTCCCCTAGTCACTTTCTTATAGTCACTACACATCATTCACTCATGCTTAGTCCCTTTATTCATCAGGGGTCGCCACAGCTGAATGAACCGCTAACTTATCCAGCTTACGTTTTACACAGCGGATCCCCTTACAGCCACAACCCAGTACTGGGAATCACCCATACACACACTCATACACTACAGCCAGTGTAGTTGATCAGTTCCCCTATAGCGCATGTGTTTGGACTGTGGGGGAAACCGGTGCACCCGGAGGAAACCCACACCAACACGGAGAGAACATGCAAACTCCACACA